GCCAGGATCCCCTAGTAGCGTCCTTGCTCCTAGTAGCGATGCCAGGAGCCCCTAGCACTGAATGGGACGATCATCCCAGAATGCTGAAGGCAACTGGCCAATCTGCCCTCCAGGCCTTTCACCCGCGACCTTGCCAACTAAAGGACCCACCGAAACGGCCACATGCTGAAAACGGAAGAAGAGGATGAAGGAGTTTGATTGTAATTAATATTTCATAAATACATACCTCTCTTGAGAGAGCCACACCTGGCTTGGAATTACACAAACATAGTGGTGTTTCTTGGATGCAGCTCCTGTTTTGCGTGATTTGTGGTTGCTGCGAAAGATCATAAATCTTCTGCCATATTGTCAATATGTACGTCATTCTTTCCTTTGTGCTGTGCAATTCTTTCCTGCAGGGTGGTTGAGGTCTTCTTTCTTGCATTGATCTTAACCTAGTTGTGAGCACTGCACATCAGTTGCAGGGTAGCTCCAAGGGAAGTACATAAGGGTTTGAGCCTGGTTGTAGATTGTAGATTTCATGAGCTCATCCGGAGCATTCAGATCCCTGGGGGATTTCTAGGATTCACACTGGCCCAACAACTCACACCCAACAGGGTTCCAAACACAACACACCCGTCTGTTGCGCGAGGAGTGAAGGCAGTGATAATGGTCGGTTTGCCATCCTCCGCGAAGGAGGCCAAACAGTTGGTGGACTACATGGCCCGCTGCGCCCTTTGGTGAACACTAGGATTACTGAAAAGAGAGGAGTAGACTGAGTAGACAGAGCTTAGAGCATCTCGAAAGTTGTTTTAAGAAGAAAACGGCCCAGAACCCTCGGAAGCAAGCCGTTTGGACAGGTCTCTTTGTTTGCCACTACTGAGGAATCTTTTTGAGGTTTGGTATTTTGCTTGGTCCCCATGGTGATTTCTCGGGAGGTTCATGATGTGATCTACAAACTTTCAGACTGAAGTGCAACCTCCACAAAGTCAACAACTCCATAAGAGAACTTGGGCATAGCCCGTGCTTGCTGTTCTTTTAGGGCGGGGGTAGGTAAATTCTCAGCGAAACCTATGCTTTGTCGTCCAAGTTTCCAAGTTTGTGAACGACTCAGGAGTTGGCAGAGTCCTTCCTGTTGGCCACTAGCTTTGAGTCTGAGATCATCAGCCAGAGACTTAGACCATTGTGGGACATCCCAGCAGTCATGGCCCACCCACGCAGGCAAGCACTGCTACTTTCCAAAGCTGCCTCTACCCATATGACGTGTGCACCTTGCGGGCTATGCACATCACCTTTCGCACTATGCATCCCCCAAACCAAATGGAGCATGTACCATTGCCTTTAGCAACGTGTTTGAGAAGGTAGCTGCAGGTAAGACCACGACCTGCTAGGCTAGAGGAAGTCTTTGTTCCGAAAAGTATATCATGTTCCAGAGGTTGGATGGTGTCTCGTCGTGATAGGTTGAGCAACCCAAGCAAGCTGTAAAGATTGTAAAGTCAGAAAACCCAGCAAGCCCACATGCCCCCCAAAGAAATCAGTGTTTTTCTTCCCTTTTGTTCTCTTGGCGTTGCAGTTTCACAGGAGTTGGCTACTCAAGCATTGGCTGGCCATAGGTGTCTTGGATGCCGATCTGAAGGCTGGCACTTTCGACCAGGAGGAGCTGCTGCCAGCCAGGGCCCTGGAGCCACTGGAGAGGGTCGAAGAGTGGTGCGTTTTAGACAGTTTGCTGAGGGCCCTCTCAGTGCTCCCTGTGTTTTGTTCTAAAAGTATGTACGCTCCCAAAGACTAACGTGCGTGAAAAAAAAAAAACGTTGTTTTACACACGTTTAAAAGAAACTGCATGATATCAAGACCCTAGTTGCCGGAGTGCTATGTTAATGTACTTTGGACCTCTCTCTCGCTGTTTCCTGGGGAATTGAAAAGTAGCACGAAGCACCCCACAGGCCGGTTACGAGCCAGCATAATTCCTGGGGATTCCTGGGGATAGTCACCGGTCTCAAAACAGACTTCTTTAACGTGTAAGTGTGGCTGTTAAGTTAACCTAGGCAGCTGGTGCTGGGAAGCATAACACCCCCTTGCAGGTGCTAAGTTAAATGCTGCGACAGGGGTCCACGTTGAAAGGTGAGGTCTCAAGTAGGTGGGGTCAAGAGAAGAAAGAAAACACCACACACATATACTCTTAGAGTCATAGAAAAATACATCCTTTCCGTTCGATGTTAGTGCAGGGGTGCACGTGAGTCTGTTTCTTAGATTCCACCTCCCACACCCTCTTTAAACCCAGACATATTTAGCCTGTTTATTGTTTTGGAAGAGAGGCTCTTTCACGTGAAGGCGTTAAAAGTGTAGTGGGGCCGCAGTACAGCATTTGAGCACAGACGCCCAACACACTTTACAATACTTACCAGAGACCATGCCACACCGGGGAGCGTGTGGAAAAAAATGTGCGTTGATGGTACCATGGTTTTTAACGTGTCATTTTTCAGCATCAAACGTAATTAGACGCAGCAAGGTCCACGTTAACCATTTCACTAGACCGGTTGATGGTTGAATGAAAAATCATTGTGTTTGCATTCATGGTCCACGTTTTCGGTGACGTACATCAAGGGTCCATGAAAGACCCCAAAACCGTTTTCCCCAGTGTAACCAACCGGTAGACATACACACGTTTAATTAGCACAAAAGTGTTTTCCAGGCACAGGTTAGTTTGCCAGAGCGTAACTCCGTTTCCTTCGTTGGCTTGGGGGACTGGTCTATTTTCCCTGCATTTAAACTGTTTTTGCAGGGTACGAATTCAAAGTTTGGTTTATGACTATATGACAGATGGGAGATAGACGAGTTTACCTACGTTCTGACCAAAGTTTTCCAGGTTTAGTAGCCATTTGGAGGGAAGGACCACGATAAGCCACAAGAGGTGGGCCACCAATTTGAGACTGAACACCAAGTCTTGGCAATGTGCCCCCCTACAATAGTAGCGATGGCCTCCACCCTAGTAATTAGCGATGGCCCCCCTACAAATGAGGGTTCCGCGTTTGTGGATGTTGAATCAGGCTGCTGAAAGGCTGTGATATCTTACAGCAAAAAATAGCATCGGGTATCCAAGAAGTGAGAGGTAGCCTGTCTCCAAGAAGAACAAATTCTCCAAGCTGAAATGTCGATCTCCTTTTCAGGTGACTTCCTTTAGAGTTCAGCTCGAAGCTTCTGGAACTCACCTTACTAGCCGCCCAAATAATTGAGTTCAACCCTCGGACAAACCTTCGTTCCACATACATCTTAAGCAAGTCAGAAAAGATCAAAACTACTCAGACGGGGGACCTGCCAGACGGGGGACCTGCCCGACAGGCACTGCAGCAGCAGTGAAAAGTGCTGGTGAAACACAGGAATATGGTGGGGATTGCTTGAGATATAGGAGGGAACGAGACTCTCCGGCAGGTTTTTGTTTCTTGGCAATTATAGCATCTCCATTCGAACCCAGCGCTGCGAGGCAGTGAATGACAAGGTGGTTCTGAAGGCTTACCTCGCATGGCTACGGCATTTGGCCTGAAAGAGCTTGAGATGTGTTGATGTCCTGGACAAAAAAGATACTATTTACTTGTTACCGGGCATTGTAAAGTGATTTGAGGCTTTGATGGTATACAAAGTTTGGCAGGTTCAATCCGACACAAGCAACTTGGCCTTTGAGGCCGTTGGACATCATCCCCTGTGGCCCCAAACAAGCTCATGAACATTGGTTGCAGCAATGTCACTGGGAAACTGCTATTTGGAGCACTTCCGGTTATATATATATATACACTGAATCACTGTTCTATTTGTTCTTATTGTTTGAAAAATTATCTTGGCACCTCCAGACCAGATCTCGCTTTGTATTCGCCTTGCGGGAATGATGAGGTACTATGGACTTCATCCGCTGGTGACAGACAAGCAACCCATCATCCAGGAGGCTCAGCACTTCTTTGCTGCTGCTACGGGAGATGGTGAAGTGCCGTCCTTGACACAGCGAATGGTGGAAGATATGGGAGACTTAGCTCATGTGGTTTCGCTTGACCCACACACTCAGTTTAGTTGCATTCTAATGCGGATTTACAGAGCGCAAATCTTAGTATTGATCCTGACTTGGGAGTTGCGTGTTTTGCTCTACATGTGTGAGTCGCAGTTGGCAGATTTGCCAAGAAATAGACAAGTGGATTATGTAGGCCTGCAGGCCTTTTGTTTTTCCTTGCGCTGAAGAGTCTTGTTGATTGCAAGCGCCTTCGTTTGCCAGCTTAGACAAGAACGCCCCTTAGCCCTAAACTGTGTCGTAATCAGTCCAGGGATGGCTGCAAAGGGGCCTGACTCTTTGAACCCTTCCTCAGACTGAAATGATGATGAGGACTAGCCGGGGTGGATGACAAAGCGCTGAATGTGAAAGCTTAGACTCTGTGGATCTTGGATCAAAGTGGTGGAAGAGCTAGTACACCAACAGACTTCTGAGGTTCAGGGTGATAAGAACGTTCTAACACACGGACCTTGGAAGGTGAAGTTTGACTTGCCTAGCTTGGTACAGATCCTTTTTGCTTTGCTAGGGATTCGGCACATGCGAAAAACCTAAACAGGTACTTATCCGCTTCACATATCATCCAAGATCCCATGTTTAGAGTGCGTTCTTGCGCTCGGATGAAAATGGGTCGAATGCTTTGTTTGGCCTTGATGATTGATTGGTTCAGGGAATGGCCAGAGAATGGTCAACCACCCATTGTGAACCTTGGTGGTGAAACGAATACTTCTGCATTGAGGTTCACCACCCAGCTTTAAGCGTGACATTTGTCAGTGTTTCTTCAACTTACATTTATCGGTGGCTAAAGAGCATTCCTTTGGATTTGGACACCCAAAAGAAAAAAACAATTTTGACAAGTGTTGCTTACACATACATATAATATATGTAATATGTACATAATATGTATATTTGATATGATAACACTCACTATAGGTGCCTGACCCTTCCGTTTCACTGCCGCAGCGTCGATTCAGCTGCTCTCCAAATGCAGAGTAGTGTGCTCGGACATCTCTCCAACGTTTCCAATCTAGCACGGGCAGGCTTGCAAGCGGCATGCAGCTTCCGCCAGAACTGGTCAGTCAATGCGGGTTTTGAAGGCATAAACAGCCGCACATGACAATGAGAGATCACATAAAAATACACAAACTATGTTTTTGTAAAGGGTTATATCTAATTGTGACTAGGTGTAGGATTCCTTCATGACTTGAGATGAAGGGTTCCCAAGGTCTGGATTGGGCGGGGAACCTCGTGGATTGTGGGAAGCGTGCTGAGGCGCGGGCATACTTTGGTTTGCACCCTCTTTGAACCTGAAACGAGGCGCCCGTGGGCCTGGGAGTTCAGGTCGTTGACGCCGACGTCAGGACCCTGCTTTGAGGAGCAGCGAAAACGAGTATATCTTTGCGCCTTTTATCTCAAAGGATGGGAAAGGGGACAAACATGTTTCAATCCAGATTCAGCTATATATATATATAGAGGTGGTGTTGTGATGTATTTGTTGTGATGTATTGACCCATTGATCGATATGATATCACAGGAGAAGCCTTCTGATTCTGTGCTCGAGCCTTCACAGGAGACCTGAGCAGGGGGATGAGAAAGCTTGCGTGCGGAGCCCTATTTGTTGCGTCAGGGGATCGTGCCAAGGTGAAATACTTCAAGCCTGGAGGGCTGGACTTGTGATGAATGCAGAAGTTGGGTCAGCAAAGTCTACACAGTACTCCATACATAGCCATAGTCTTAGTGGATCATAGTCGTATATTGGGTAGTATAATAATGTACAATAAGGTATAGTATAAAGTTTACGCATGTAGATTAATATCCCATGAAATTCTGTGAGTTATCGATTTCTATGATATTTTCTTCGGGGCAGCGTCGCTGGTCAATCCAAATGATTCAGGAATTGAGAACCGATGGGTGCCTCCAGGGTTCCAGATCGCATCAGGCGAAGCCCCCCTCTACCTACTGTACTGGTTGGAGATCGACTGGGCTTAGATGGATCCTGGATAAGCACGAATCCCACAAACACAGGCCATTAGGATGCGCGCACTTGCGGTTCAGCGCCCACACCAACCCTTGCTCACGGGTGAAGCGGGTTTGGGTGGTCTTGTGGTCCTGGGTGAAACGCCTAGAGACTGCCCTTTGTACACTACACACGCCATTAGGATGATTTTGTGCATGCTTGGTAGTTTCAAATACGGAAGAGACGAAATGACAAGTTTCAGACTTTGGCCGCAGGGCAGTGGGCAGTCCTATCGACAAATTAGCCAGCTCTTTGTGATGCAAACGTCACGGTCAAAGTCTGCAAACGTCAACTTTGCTTGTGGCTTACCCTGCAACCATGCTGCATGCCCAGAGCTTCCAGGTGGTGTGCTAGCGGTCCATATGGATGTCAGCTGCAGATCAATGAGTGTGCTATTAATTGTCGCCTCAATGCATTCCCATTCAAACGAAAATCGAGGGCGGGAGTCAGCCCGACCTAGCCATCCTGTCAGCCGCGGTCAGGTGGTCTTTTGTCATGGCAACGCTTGTTGCCGTTTGGATGGATTCATGCAGGCCAGAATCTGACCATCCCTCCTCCGCTGCTACTGTGGATATCAATACAGCTACAGTTTCTGTGTTGGCGAGTCGAGGAAGAACTGTTTGACCTTGACGTAGGGAGTGATGACGGTGAAGGCCTTATCCTTGGGGGGTCAGCAACCGCTAGCGATCGTTTGCGGATATGCTTTCATGCAGGCTGTAGGTTCTTTCACACAGCTAGTGGGAACTCACAAATATCCAACATAAAAAGAGTCCTGAAGAGGTAATTCAAGCTATGGAGAAGGTCAAACCCTTAGTCTACACAAAAGGATTAAGGGTTCTGCTATTTCTCAAACAATGTGTCCACATGTTTCCACAAACCGTTAGGTCTGTTAGGTCCAGCGCTTCAAGGCTGACACCAAGAATCAAACAATTATGTGACCTTGACTGTGACTTTGCTGGCCTCCTTCTTTAGTTGTGCATGTTGGTACAGCTCATAATAATGTAATAATCAAAAACAAGCCAAAACTATAAGCTAACATCCTTGATAATCCATCGAAATCGCTCCGAACCTTGGAGGTTCATTGCTTTCTGCCTCTGAACATTGCGGTTTGCTGCTTCGACTTCTCAGGTTCAGGCGAGAGCTCCGGAAATGACACCTTTCATATTTCATACATTTTCATATTTCATATTTAAGGGAAAACAACAGTTCTATCAACATAGTAACTCTAACTCTAATATCAGTTTTGAGGTAAGCGACTATGCAGCCACCTGTGAAACAGAATCTGGAAGGATCCAAGGCGGGTCCGCACGACCTCCCACGTGCAGAGGTATGAGCGGTGGTGAGCACGTCTCGCTGGGCTTCTTTGAACGTGATGATCTGGCGGCGGTCGAAGCCCCAGAGTTAGCCCTGGCCTGGCGTTGTTTGTGGTATGTGTGAGCCATGGGGAGAAGCGGATGGAGAAATGATCAAACACACAATCCTTTTTTGAATGACAGATGCACTTGTAACAAGGCTCTGCCAGACAGGGGAACGCACAGTTGGTTTGAGGGCAAAATTCTCAGTGGGTCACAGATCTTCTCCCTTTCTAAGTTCCCATGTCGTTTCAGGGAACATAGTTGGACTGTAGCTGATCAGTGTTCTTTGACTATCTATTCCACCTGTGGGCTTGCAAGCGTCAAAGCCCAGACTTTGAGGTCCTTAGTGATTCCGATAAAACTACATGTGCTCCGATTGTACGATGTTTGTAGCGCAGGAGGTCTACCCTATAGATTTTGCGGTGGAAGTGGCGCGCAGTAGCACATCAGACTGAGTCTCCACCATGTGCTCAGGTGATCCAAAATCTTCGTGAACGCCGTGGCTACACCAGAGCAGAGGGCTTGGAATGAAATCGGCTTGAAGATCTCAAGAGGGGATAGAACAGAGCCAGAAGATTGTCTCTTCCCTCATAATAGCTGGGGATGCTTTCAGAATCCTCCCTGACTTATATATATATATACAACATGCATAAATATGAGTACTGTACTGGTTTGAACATTTTATAGATTACTTCTGAACAAATGTAACTCTGTGCATTATATGTGTACATATTTGCATATAGTTATATCTTGCTCCTAGTAGCGATGCCAGGAGCCCCTAGTAGCGTCCTTGCTCCTAGTAGTACGGCCAGGAGCCCCTAGTAGCGAACATTGTTCCAAGATATAAGTGAATGAAACCGTTTTCCAAATTCTCAGAGGTCGGCGTTTGGGGCCGCTCTATGGGCGCTACCACCGCGGTGCCTACCTGCAGGGGGAGTGATGTGGAATGGGGATGGAGGCCCAGTGAACACGATCAGATGAACATGGTGGAACTGATCTGTTTCTGGTGTTTTGGTGAGTTGTGCTTTTCTGTTCGAGATGGTGACCTACAGCTGTGCCTTTTTTTCACCTTGTTTGGGTTGTTGTCCATGTTCTAAACGGAGATGGTCAGTGGATGAGTTTCTTCACCAGAAGCTGACAAACCAAGTGATCACCCAAGCTGCTCCACCTGCGAAGCGTTGACAACGACACAAAGCATTGACGCCACGCATGGTGTGCCTTAGAGCAAATCAATGTAGTCAGTCTGCACTGCATGGCAGCTCTCGAGATCAACAAGAGTACTGGTATGTACTGGCTACCTCTCAAATGGCAGTTTGGTTCCGTGTTGGCATCCACACCCAGAATGTCCCAGAACGTATGCATACTCTTCTCCGCACTCAAAATTTGAGGTGTTTCTATGCGTTTCTATATCTAATGTGCTGTGTAAGGGATACCATGGGATACCTAATGGATCCAACCTAAAGAGCACCAAGCTCCACCAATCTGCTTTGGATCCCACATGTTGTTTTCGGCAGGTGCTCCACAGCGCTCGTGATCCGTCCCTTGCCGGTGTGGCCTCGCCGGCATACCATTAGCCGCCAGTGACCGACGGATTTTCCGAAGGGAAGTGGAAGGAAAGGGAAGCAGAGCATGATTAATTGACAGAAAACAAAAGAGAACAACACATAAGAATTGAAAGACTTTAGAATATCACAGAGTAAAGGAAAATGGAGGGTGGACTTGTGTGCCTTCAACAAGGCCCCTTATCAAAGCGGGTGCAAGTCCACCATGTTGTTTCCTTCTCTATCATCAGGGAAAAAGAGGGGCACATCTTTTTTGGCCCATCATAATATGGTGGACAAAGATTAATATTGTTTTTTAGACGATGTATCCTGATGTACTGTATGCCTCATTTCTTGTGGACGAAATGATGAAATGTGTTTTTGCTGGGTGGGCAGTGTTTACATGTGTTTAGCTCTTACGTGATTTTTTTGTTATGTTGCATTGATGTCTAACTTGGATCGTGTTTCCACCGCAGTGCTTGCGAGTGCACTGCCAAAGGTT